CCACATGGAAACACCAAGGCCCCCATGCGGCACAGCTGAAGAGGACAGGGTCCAGGTTTGGGCCTGAGTCTTGGGCCTGTGCTCACAGCTGTCACTAACCTTTCCATCACCATCCTCACACACCCCATGTCCCCAAAGTGCCATGTCCAACATCCCTAGCCGGGACCTGAGGCCCACCAGGGTTCCTGATGCTCAAGGGCAGCCTGGGCCAGTGCGAAGAGCCACAGGTCTGCAGAGGCCGGAGCTCAGGGAAAGGGCGCAGGCCTTGCACTCCGAGTTCTGCGCACCAGAGCAGGTCTCAGACCTCTTGACCTCTCTGCCTGTTCAGTGGAGAAGAAGCAGGGCATCGCCCCACTTACTAACCTAGAGGAACCGGGTCCCAGGGGCCATGTGGCACCTGCACAGGAGACCACACCCCCATGCTGTAGTTTTGCGCATGTGCAGTGAAAGCCTATTCCATTTGGCACATGCGCAGTGAAAAGGCTGTCCTAGTGGCGCACGATCGATAGAGCCCACCCTGCGCAGTGGACCAGGGCTTGGCTCTGCTCCGGAAGGCCCCCGTCCAGCAAAAGAGGTGCCTTTGGCTAGGAAGGTGTTCAGAGTGTGGCTCAAGCAGCTGGGGAGCAAGGACATGTTTAGATGTATCCAGGACCAATCAGGGAGGCTTCCTGGAAGAGAAGCACCGCTGGTGGAACCCAGAGTTCATGCAGGATATGGAGAAGAGATGGGAGACACCTGAGGCCTAGGCTCCCAAGAACAGAGGTACGAGCCTGGAAAGGCAGCCACAGGGAATGGGAATGTAGCTCAGCAGTACAGCACCCACCTGGCAAGCACAAGCACAAGGTACTGAGTTCAATTCCTGGTACCAAAAAAAAAAAAAAAAAAAAAGCAGGTACACCCAGCAAGCGAGGGGCATAGGGACACATGAGGACCTGTGTGAGTGCAGGGGAGAAGCAGAGGGCAGTAGCCTGGTGAAGTGGCACACACTTGTGATCCCAGCACTCTGGAGGCTGAGGCAGGAGAGTCACTGCAAGTTTGAGCCCAGCCTGAGCTCCATAGTGAGACCCTGTCCCAGAAAATCAAAAGGAAATTTTAAAGTTTAAAAAAGAACAAAGTGTGAAGACCCTGACTCCCTCGGATCACAGCTGCAAAGAGGCAGCAGGGCTCTTCCCCATGAAGAGCTGGCCCCTGTGAAGCAAGAGAGGTCTATGTCCTGGAAGTGACCTTCTGGCTGACTCCACACCACAGCCAGCAGAGTCTGCATACTGCTGATCCCTGACTTGGAGACCTTGTCATTTGGGGCTGGTGGCTCCTGGTTGCACTGTTAAAGCTGCGCTGTGGAAACCCCTCCAAACCCGCCCTGCTGGAGCGACCCCTCCCCAGCTCCTCACCTGCTCCAGCCAGGAAGGGGGCCTCCTGAGCAGGGGCCCAGACACTTGCAGGACCACCTCAAGTTCCGGTTGTAAAAACTTGGTTCGGATTTGGCCTCCTTGGAATCACAGCAGGGGTGCAGTGAATGAATGGTGGAAGAAGACACCGTCCACCAGCTAGAACTCAGGCTACTGAAGTGAAATTAGCATAATGAGCTCGAGACCCCTTTACTTCAGGCACGGAAAATGAAATTGGCGAGTGCAGACCCTCACAGTTGTCATCTGATGGCATTCTGGGAGAAGGAAGCTGAGGGGAGGAAGGGCTGTGAGCCCCGGGAGGACATAACTGAGTTGGTTCCATGCACAGGAAGGGCTGGGCGAAGATTGCTGATCTTGGAGGAAGCTATGGAAGGTCCGGTGGGAAAAGACGCACCCATGACCCCAGCCCTCAGCCAAACCCCCAAAGGGCAGGGAGCACAAAAGAGTAAGAAAGATTCAGGTTCCAATCCTGACTCGGCCACTTGTAAGCTGCAAGGGCTGGAACCCTAAGAAGGAACAGCCAGGCACGGTGGTGCACATCTGTAATACTAGCACTTGGGAGGCTGAGGCAGGAGGCTTGCCAAGAATTGGAGCCAGCCTGGGATACACAGCGAGAACCGGTCTCAAAAAGCCTAATGAGAGGCCAGCTGGGCTGCTTGAGACCCCACATTAGACATGGAAATCCTCAGTGTCACCTCCATCCCCAGGCAGGGCTGGTCTACAGAGTGAATACATACAGCAGAGAGCGGGCCACAGCAGTAAGAAGGACTCCTGCCCCTCGAGGTGACGTGGTGACCCCCAGCACCGCAGCTGAGCCCAGGCCAGGCCCACACAAGGGATCTGGTTGTCCGCATCCATGGGAGCCTGGTGGGGTTCATCCCTGGAACTGGGGGTCAGGGTGTGGCCCTTAGTGAGGACTGGACAGGGCTGCTGGTGTCCCTTTCCCTGTCCAGGCCCAGAGTCTGAGAGCAAGCGTGCAGTCTTATTGATGTCACTGGGCTTAAAGCACGGGGATCAGGTGTCCTGGGAGCCAGGCCCCAGCTCTCAGTGCTGATAACCTGACCGAGTCATCGTGGGCTCAGTGGTGTCTGAGGAGGGAGGGGGGGCTCCGTCCTGGGTGCAAGAGGTCAGGAGGGAGGTGACAGGACAAACTCCTACTTGTCACTCCTGGCTGCCACCTCCAGGAAGCCTTCCTAGATGAGGGTTCCCAGATGAGGGATCCCATGTGCTTCTCAGCCCCCCACTTGGTGGCCACTGCCAGCAAGCCCTTTCCATACCTGAGCTCCTCTCCCCGCTGTCCTCTCCTGGAAGGAATCCTTTCTCCCCACCTGTTTTGTCTCTGTGTCACTCTGTAAGGGTTATTAGCCAAGGACCAGTTTCACATGTGTAACTCAGCCTGGCCTCGAACTTGTGGCAGTCTTCCTGCCTCAGCCTCCAAGGTACTGGCATTAGAGACCCTTTGTGTCTCTTTATGGTGGCTCCTTACCTCCCCCTGGACTTTGGGGAAAACCCAAACCCTGCACCAGCTGAGCTCTGACGCGCCCCCTGGTGTCCACATTGCGTCTTTACACTCCAGCATGTAAAAGTCCCTCAACTGGGCTCTGTAGCGCTGGCCTCCCCCCATCCCAGCACTCAGGAGGCCAAGGCAGGAGGAGCTCAGAATGAGAGGAGCCTGGGCAACATAGCCACACCCTGTCTCAAACAGGCGGGGGCACTTTGGAGCCACAGCTGGTTCACACGCATCCCTGTCCGCCCCTGTGACCCTGGGTACGGGGGTGACACAGAGGGGCTGTGGGTCCCGTTCCCAGCTGTCCCAGGCCCCCATGGCACATGGCAGGGAGGTCAGATGCGAGCAATGTGGACAGGGAGGGGCGGCCCCACAGACAGACGCCAGCCTGGCTCAGTCCCTGCCACTTTCACTGCCACTGCCTCCAGACACTGCCAGCCCCGGTTCCCCGCCTGGCATCCGCGCCACAGGGTTTCTCCCAGAGACGCGATTTCTATTTTGATTCCATGTGACATTTAATGAAATGGCTTTCAGACACCACGCGGCTGGCTGTCTGAGGGATGGAACCGCAGCCCTGGCTCCTGAGCGGCGCCCGGAGGCAGGGAGGGCCCCGCAGCCTTGCAAGAGCCATGGACGCCGACTTCACCTGTCCCGCAGTCCCTTCCCCTGGCTGTCTCTGACACCAACGCTCGGGCTCCAGGCGGCACTGCTCAACCCACAGCTCATACCCGTGCAGGAGACAGGAAGTCGATGCCCAGGTGCAAACAATGTATGTGGAAAAAACTCCACGAAATAGTAGGAAATGCAACCCGGGGGACAGGGTGCCCGCGGCGAGGGGAACACATAAACTGAGGCAGGGACTTCGAGACCTCAACTAAGTCGCACCCCGCGGGCCTCCAGGTCTTTCCAATTCTCCTGCAACCCTGGCAGCTCCCACCGGAACCACATCCTGGGGCCCTTGGGACTTTGCACAGGTCACTGATGTGATACCAGGCTGTGACCACCACTGTGACCCCCGCACGCCACCTACAGCACATGAAAGCGGAGACTGGGGTCCGCCCTGCCCCACCCGGCCCACTAACCCTCCCTAGGTTGATGACCACGTGGGTCTAAGGAAGCCACCGTGCACCTGCAAGCCTCTTGCTCGGAAGGAAGAAGGCCTGCGAATTCTCGACAATGGCTGTTAAATAGGTATTCCAGCCAGATGCTGAGGCGCGTACCTGCAGTCCCTGCACTGAGGTAGGATTCCAAGTTCGATCCCAGCCTGGGCAATTTAGCCAGACTGGTCTCCACAACCCAGCAGGGCCGGGAGGAGCGGGAGCCCCCTCCTGGCCACATGTGGAACAGCAGCCTCTCGAGACCGCTGTGCATCAGGGGAGTGGGGCAAGTGACCCCTACAGCAGGGGGAGGATGGGCACGGGAGTAGGCTTGTGGGGTTCTGGGCAGAGGCTGGAGGAACCTGCTGGAGCAGAGAGGAGGGCAGGCTGGGGACTGCAGCTTGATCCCTCAGAGCTGTCACTGCATAGGAGGCTGTGGCAGGACGGTAAATTTGGTTTTTTTTGTTTGTTTGTTTGTCTTTTTCCTTTTTATCGGTAATCAGGGATCGAACTCAGGACTGCCTGCTTGCAAGGCAGGTGCTTATGCCGCTGAGCTAAATCCCCAGCCCCAGGATGGTAAATTTGAACCCAGCCCTGGGAGTTGTTGGGATCTGTGGAGTCTGAAACTGCAGCAGGGATGGAAAGGGGCACAAAGGGACTGGGACTCGGCCACAGTAGAGCCAGCCAGGTACGGTGGTTCACACTTGAGGCTGAGGCAGGAGAATCTCAAGTTCAAGCCTAGCCTGGACAACTTAGTGACACTGTGTCCCAAATAAAAATACAAAAGCAAATACTCATAAATCACTATGGAAACTCTGAGGGGAGGGGACTGAGATAGGGTCTTGCTGTGTGGCCCAGGCTGGCCTCTAACTTGCAGAGATCCTTCTGGCTCAGCTTCCCATGTGCTGGGATGACAGGTGTACATCACCATGCCCTGCTGGAAATTACTTTCCTTCCTGCATTAAAATGTGAATGTTACCAAACAACTGACATAAGAACAGTTTTAATTACTCCACACTCATGCAGTAATCAATGTGAAGAGATTTCACAATGGCTTACGTGAAAGTGTTGTCTTACAGAGAGCAGGAGGCCGGAGCAGGAGCATAGGCAGGAAACCCCACCTCCAGCTCGAGCCAGGGCAGGCCAATGTCTGAGCTTTGTGACAAGCAGGGCAGCCATTCATTTAGTGCCACACAGGCATCAGGTCATACAACTTGGGTTTATTCACATTAGGGAAGAATAACTTAAAAAGACAGAAATGGGTCTTGTAATACAAGAATTGATAGACTAATACAATGGTATAATCAGTGAAGCCTGGCTGGGGTTCCAATGACCACCAACCCATAGACAACACAAGCGGCGAATTTGGGGGCATCACAGGATTGATGTCAAGCACCCATCCACTCCTTCCCATGGCCATTGAGGCTCTTCCCACAGAAAGGCGGATTAAGTAATAGTAACTGGGAACTGTGTTAGTCTGAAGCTTCATCTAAAACCATATCTGAATGGAGCAGGTAGGGACAGCTCACAGCTCAGGTTTGCTACTCACTCAAGAACCTGCCAGGTGACATGTGCTTAGTGTGAGAAGCACCGTGAGCAATACCTCTGAGATGCCTGTCTTGTTAAGGTATTTCTCTTATTAATATTGGGTGACAAAACTTTCCAAAATATGAACTACTGGAGTACCTAAAAGGATGCATATTGTAAAAAAGTCTTAATTAAAGAAACTAAATGGAGAAACTATAAATAGATCAAATCTCTGACATAATCGGAATAAGCACCACTTTCAGGAGAGCTGGTCTCAGGAGCAATCACATCCTATCTCCACTGGGTACTACGTACATGGAGATTTGCCCAAAATTGACTTCAAAAGTAGGGTATTTCAAATTCATTAAAAAGCTTCCAAATTACATGCCCAGGAACACAAGGTTACTTTCTTTTAGTCACTTGAGCTACCATTCGTGGGAAATGCAACACTTTTCTTTCGCTTGGTGTTGAAATCAAATGTCAGGCTCTCCCCGTGATAGTACGCTTCGCATCTGTGTGTAAAGTGCCAGTTTATTTACCGCTAGTTCGATGCACTTTAGCCTGCTAGGAAGCAGTGAGGCCGACATCTGTAACTGCCCCAGGGCCGGGCCGAGTCCTGTGGTCCCCAAGCTGTAGTGCTAAGGTGCTGTCGCGGCTGCCAGCTGCTCACAAAGTGAGACTTGATCTTGCAAAGAGCCCAGGTGGCTGGGCTTCCATGTCCCTCCCCTGGGTGACACACTGCACACTGCTAACAAACAGGATTGATTCTGAGGTAGCTACACAGCTTTTACAAGTGCTGCTAACACTGCTGACCATGCATGGTGTAGCTGGGCCATTTACCTTAGCTGATTTTTTTTTTAAATGATGAAAGGGGGGGAAAAAAATCAGCAAAGTAAGCATGCTTCTCTAGTTCTTCTAAAAGTCAGCATCCAATGTAAAAGAATTCTCCGTGGGGCTGGACATAACTCCCATCCTCTGATACTCGCCTACCCTCTTCTCAAAGAAGTTTGTCTTCCCTTCCAGAGAAATATTCTCCATGAAGTCAAATGGATTTTCCACTTGAAAAACCTAAACACAAAAATAAATTAATCAATGGAGCCTGAGGCAGGAGGACTGCTGCAAGCTCAAGGCCATCCTGAACTACACAGTGAGAGAGACCTTGTCTCCAAAAAACAATAAAAAGATACCAATGAGTAATTCCAGCTTCCAAAGAGGTGGGAGGGCTGGATGGTGCCTCACCTTGCCAAAGCCCAGCTCTAGCATGAGCCTGTCAGCCACGAACTCGATGTACTGCTTCATGAGCTCGCAGTTCATGCCAATCAGCTTCACTGGCAAGGCCTCCGTGAGGAACTCCTAGTGGGGAGAGAGCACAGCTCTGGCACCAGAAGCACAAAGTGCGTCCCCAGGCCAGTGTGAGGGACCCGGCTGCTCACCCACCTGCTCGATTCTGACGGCGTTGACGATAATCTCCTTCACCCTCTGCTCTGAGGGTCTATGCACCAGGTGCTTGAACATCAGGCAGGCGAAGTCACAGTGCAGGCCCTGGAAGGGTTTAAGGACACTTTATGGCCAAGCCAGGCATGGTGGTACCTGTCATCCCAGCACTCCGGGAGGTCGAGGCAGGAGGATCCCAAGTTTCAGCTCAGCCTGGGCAACTTAGTGAGAGTCTGCCTCAAAAGACAGACTTTTTTTCCCACTGGGGAATGCTGAGAATTCAGTCAGTGCAAAGGTCCTGGGTTCAATCCCCAGTACTAAAAAACAAGTAAAAGAAACAAAGATGCTTATTCTTTGCTGGCAACAGGGATGTGAACTCCTGCCTTCCAACATCCCAGGTCCCCTGCAGGAAACATGAGCCTGTACCTAAGAGTCACATGCCTGGGGGTATGGGCTGGGGCTCACCTCATCTCTGCTGATGAGTTCATTGGAAAAGGTGAGGCCGGGCATGAGTCCCCGTTTCTTCAGCCAGAAGATCGACGCAAAAGAACCAGAAAAAAAGATGCCTTCCACAGCAGCAAAGGCTACCACGCGTTCCCCTGTGGGAGCCGACAAGAAATGCCCTAGTGAGTCACCATGGTGCACGAGGCGACAGTGGTCACCAAACCAGGCTCAGCTCTATGGGGCCGGGGTGTCCTTACCATAAGTGGCCTCTTTGTCCCCAATCCAGCGCAAGGCCCAGTCCGCCTTCTTCTTCACACAGGGCATGGTCTCGATGGCATTGAAGAGGAACTCCCTGTATGCACAGCACATGACAGGATGACACCTCAGCTGCTTTTCCTCGATGGCCCCTGGCTGAGCCTGGTGGAGAGTGCCTGCCAATGCACTCCCCAGAGCCAGACGTCACACTGCAATCCCCCCCGGCGGCTCCCCCCACAATAAACCTCACAATCTCATGACTCATGTTAAGGCACACAGTCCTAGCTGGCTGCTCCTGAGTGCAGACCAATTCTGAGGTCCATTCACACTAAGACTCAGCCTGTGACAGATGGGTACCCATTGGCTTAATTACTTCAAGTCCTGATAAAAGCCTATAGGCCCCACCTTTCAATTTGAAGAACCATAAAACCTTAGCTGCCCGCTGTTACAGAGACAGAGAGGGTGGGGTGGGAGTGAACAGGTAAGAGGTGCACGGATGGCAAACACGAACTAATGAAAAGGGGCCGCCTCCCAAGGCCACCACTCCATAATAATAAAGGAGTGATGTGCACCTCACTAAGTGTTTCCAGTCTACGTGAGGTTCCCGGCTGAGAGCTGACCGCAGCATCTATGCCCACTGCACTGCCGGTTTCTCACTCTCCCTCCTTTCCAGTGGACCTAGTAAACAGACCCTCAGCTACCCTTTGCCCTGTGACCTCCTGTCAACGATCACCCCTGCCCCCTGCTGGACACCCACACCACACACACCCACAGTGCAGCCCACTTGAGGTGTCAGCTAAGAACATGAGCTTGGGCCCTTTGCTCCCAGCCGACAGGGCCATGGGGCTAGAAATGTCCTCAGAGGGCCTGTTTAGACATCCAGACTCACACCTGCCCCTCGGGGAACTAACATGCCTGGGCCAGAGAAAGGACCTGAGGATGAGGCAAAGCCCCCGCAGCCCACCCACGCACCCTCACCTTTCTCTGGAATCTTTGATATAAGTATCGATGAGGAGACTGTACATTTCGGAATGAATGTTTTCCATGGCGATCTGGAAGCCGTAGAAACAGCGAGCCTCTGTGATTTGAACTTCTTGGCTGAACCGCTCCACCTAGTGGTGATGAAACGCATCAAAGTTATTAAACTTGAGTGACACCCGCGGAAAAGTGAGTCAGACAATGGAGACTGGCGGAATTTCCATGCTCAAGACCATTAAGAGGTTTGCTGGGCATGCTTGTCATGCCATCACCATGGGGCTGAGGCAGGAGGATCACAAGTTGGAGCCCAGCCTGGGTAACTGAATGACTTAAGTAAAAGATAAGAAATGGGTTGGGCATGTGGTCGCATCCAAAGGCCCTGGATTTGCTTCAATACATATTCAATGCAAATGTTTGTGTTAAAGCTCAACATTTTATATGATATGCTCAATCTACAGGTCTAGATCTGAATACAGCTCTCTCCTATTTTCTAAGGTGTCCATTAACATTTCGCTGATTCATCCTCATTTCAAGGATTCATTTACAAGACATGCAATCCACAAAAGCCTCTAAGGAGAGGCAGTGTGGTAGCTCACACTGCCCCTGCATAGAGCGGGCAAACTGCAATAAGGACTGTAAAACAGGAAGTGCCACCGGTTCGGACTGGAGCTAAGTCGCACATGTACAGCCTGGGAAACTGAACTCACGATTTTGGGGCGCAAACTCACCAAATTCTCATTGACTATGCCATCGCTGGCGGCAAAGAAAGCCAGAACGTGTGATATAAAGTATCTCTCCTCGGGCTTCAGGGCTTCCCAGTGCTGAATGTCTTTGGAAAGATCCACCTGAGGGTTTAGAAGTTCCCGATTATAATATTAAGGAGACTCCAGCGTGCCAGGAGCTTACACGTAAGCCCTTCCAAATTTTCCTGTGGGTCCATCACACTCCTGGATGAGTGTACTTCTGTACATCAAGTCCGGGATTCCCTTTGGCAACCAGATTGGCCCCACCCTGGGGGCAAGCACCCCAAGAGGAATGGGATACACTTCAGACAAGCTGTGCCCACCCAGCCAGACAGGCCCTGAACCTGCTCACCTCCTCTGCCGTCCAAAAGGAGGCCTCGGCTTTCTTATACATCTGCCAAATGTCATGGTATTCGATAGGGAAGATGACAAAGCGCCGGGGGTTCTCTCTCAGCAGTGGTTCCTCCTCCACGCTGGGCGCAAATCCCTTACTCTTCTGTTGTTGGAGGAGAAAAAAACCACAAAACCTAAGAATGCCGGGCGTGATGGCTGCCTGTCTGTAATATCAGTACTCCCTCAGGGCAGGCTGAGGCAGGAGGACCTCCGCGAGTTCAAAGCCAGTCTGGGGTACACAGTGAGTTCAAGACCAGCCTGGACTATATAGGGAGACTGTGTCCTAAAAAACCGAGAAATCTAAAATTAAGCCATAGAAAATCGCCCTTTTCCCAGGCCACACACCCCGACTGTGCCATCTCGCGTGGACGCATGGATGGGTGCTGGTGAGCTATTACAGCACCTCTGCGGGTGGTCAGCAGAGGCTCGCGCCCCCGGGCGAATGCCAGGCCCGGATGGAGCAACCGGGGCGCCCCAGGGCAGGGGACGCTTTGGCGGGAAGGGAGTACGCGGCAGGCAGCCGCTGAGACAAAGCGCTCTGGTGCCCAGAGCCGGCTCCGGGGCGCCCCCTATGGGCCGGGCCCGCGCGTCCTCACCGGCTCGGTGGGCTCCTGGAAGATCCGCCGCGCGGTCTTACTGGCCAGCACGCGAGTCCCGCTGAGGGACGGAGGCGTGTTCTCCTTGTCAGCCAGGCTGAGTCCCTTCAGCGGCGACAGCTGCAGCTGCTGCTGGTCTGCGAGCGTGGCGAGCGGGGCACGGACGGAGAGCATGGTGCTTGGTGGCTGCAGCAGGGGACACGAGGATGAGCGGGAATCCGAGTTTGAGTGGCTCGCGCGCGCGCGCTACGCAATTTAAATCCCTGCCGCCTACCACGCGCCGCGAGAGGGCGTGGTCGATCAAGCGGCGCTTCCTATTGGTCGAGCCCGACCCAGCCTTTTGGCAGCGCGGGAGATTCGAGCGCGCAGGTTAGCAAGACCCTGAGGGGAGGCAGCTGCCCGCCCCGGGACCCACACAAAGGGCGCCGTGATCGGATCGGCGGAAGAGCGAGACAGTGTCCCCACCCCGCAGCTTGGAAAGCACCCCCAGCCGGGTAGGCAGAGGGCTCGCACAGGTGTTGGTACGGATACCTGGTAGCGGGGGAGGCATCTCTGCCTCCACTCAGATCAGTGTCCCTGGGTGGGGTGCCAGGTTCCCCAGATCGGGTGCGAGAACTGTGCAGCCTGACACTTGGGCCCCGGATGCTGGGTTTGGACGGGAGACCTGATTTCTTAAGGGTCTGGGGTCCGCACTTGTGACCCGGAACTTGTAACCTACCCTGTGAGGTTAATGCAGTGCGACAGCGCTGAGGCTGCGGTTCTTCGAAAACCTGTAAGCTGGATGACACGGGCATGGCCTTTGGTGCAATTTCTGCCCTTTCTGTCGTCAGACCTCTGTCCTCCGGGTACTTGTTTTAAAAGTTGCAAACTGAGCGAAAATGGGAGAATTTTGAGAAAGACTGAAGAGCTAGAAGCTCCCTTCCGACTTCCTGGGCCTCGGAATGGCCTGGAAGGGCTTTCGGACTCATCGGAGGCTAGGACAGGGTACAGATTCAGGAACAGTTTCTGTTTGGACCTGGCTTTCTGATTTTCAGCGACATTTGCCCTGCGAAGGGCAAAATGCAAGAAATTAATGAGAAAGGAAAAGTTAAAATCGAGAGAAGAATAATTAACCGGGTAAAGACTACACAGCACCAAGCCCTCCTGGATAAGTGGAGGATAGGGAGGGGAGACACTGCCTCGCCCGCTCCCTGCCACCGCCCGCTGCACTGTACGGCCCCGGGTTCAAGGTCTCCCTTTATCCAGGCACAAGTAAGCCTTCGCCCCAGCATCATTTGTTCAAAGTGACTGGCAGACGGGTCGATTTCACTTGCGTTTTCCAGCACCCAAGCCCAGAGAGTGGGTAGTCTCGCTGATAACTCTGGCTCATAAAGCCATTATCAGATCTGACACAATTATCATTGCACCGGCGCTGTCGCCTTAATATCTAGTTCACGTTCTTGTGTGGAACGCTGCCTTGGGTTGCTTAGTGTATCTCCTGCCCTACTCGCTAACTCAGAGCTAGCCAGAAAATGATGGCCTCCTGTTTACTTCCCGACTACTAAAATGACACCTACCCATCCTAAAAATTTAGAACTTGTAAGGGAGGCGGGAAGCCAGGCCCAGTGGCATAGTCCAGTAATCCCAGAACTCTGGAAGGCTGAGGCAGGAAGATCACATATTCAAGCCCAGCCTAGGCAATTTAGTGACTTAGAACCTGTCTTAAAATTAAAAAAAAATAAACTTTTAAAAGGAGTTAGGGCTGTAGCTCAATGCGAAAGCCCAGAATTCAATCCCTGGTAGCAAAAAAGAAAGGCAAGGCATGAGGCGCCATTCTCTCGCCCCCATCGGGCAAGCCAGGCTCTGTGGCTGCCTGACTGCTCCCCACCGACACCGGCTAGTTTCTTCGTTTTCCGCGCCAGTTTTGACATCTGCCTCAGGATTGGCCCGCAGGGGAGTAGGCTCCGCCCCCTTCCGGGAACTTCCTTGGCAACATCCTACCTCGCCGGGCGCTATGAGTCTGCGTGGCGAGGCCACACCCCAGGCGGGGCAGGTCAGCGGCTACCGCGCCGCTGGGCGTGGCCTCTACCCTGCAACCACACCTGGGCCGACTGACCAGAGCAGGAAACCGAGGCTGTTCCGCTCCCCAGACACCGCTGGGGGCTGGCATCCCAATAATGTGTGCAGGCCTGTAATCCTAGCACACTGGGAGGCTGAGACGGGAGGATTGCAAGTTGGAGGCTACCTCGTGAGACCATACCTCAAAAATAACAGCTTAAAGAAACTGCCCCTGGGTTTCATCTCCAGTACTGCAAAAACAAAAAACAAACTCTGAAAGATGATTTTTTTTTGAAGAATAATTCTTTAAGAAGGTTTTTACTTTGGTAAACAGAAAGCTTAACATTTTCACCATTTTATGTTTATTTGTCTTACAAGTAAAGACAGGCTCCCAGTATGCAGCTCGGGCAGGCCTGAAACTCACCATGAAGCAGCACTTACCCAATATCTCCTTCCACCCCCTGGTCCCTGTAGCTGTAACTACTTGTTCTGGGGCAGATAAGGCTGGCAATTGTGTCCCATAAACAGGGTTTATGTCATGTGTTTTCACAGGACTCATAAAGCTCTGTCTTCTTTCAAAAGGCAAAGTTATTCACTGCTCTCACCACAAGCTTTCTAAAGAGCAGGCCCCCAGCCCCACCCCCACCAAAAGTAAAACCAGAGCCTTCCCTTTGTCCTAACACCCAAACACTTTGGATGCCAGTTTGGCTGAGCTGATTAAAATCCTGGAAATAAACCCTCCTGTTATTCCCCACTGGTCTCTTGATCTATCTCTTGGGTTCTGCAACAACTGTGTAACCCAGACTGGCCTGGAACTCAGTGGTGCTCCTGTCTCAGCCTCTCAAGTGTGCCACCATGCTCTGCTATGTCATTCTTTTGAAAGCTGAGTGATACTCCTTTATAGATATACTGCTTTCTGTATGAGCTCTTCTTTCTGCTACCATCAGCCCCTTCTCTTGAGGAGTTATGGGATTTTCCCCAGCAACACTATAACTGAGAAGCAAGGCCAACCCTTCCCAATACTATAAGCCCTAGCACCTTTGGAGGCTGAGGCAGGACAACTGAAAGTCCAAGCCCATCCTGGGCAACGCAGTAAGACCCTGTCTCCAAATAAAAAAACAAAAAAGGATGGGGATGGAGCTCAGTGTAAAAGTCCTGAGTTCAACCTCTAGTAGTAGAGGGAAGAAGATAAAAACCAAGCACCAGGTGTGATGGCACACACCTATCATCTCAACACTCAGGAGGCTGAGGCAGGAGGATCCCTGGCAACTCGAAGCCAGCCTGGGCTACAAAGTGAGTTTGAGGCCAGCTTGAACTGACTGAGAAAAAGAAAGAAGAAAAGAAAATCAAGAAGAATGTAAAGTCACAAATATTCAGTCCCAGAATTAACTACGAGGGAGGCAGAGGCTTAGCCCTGCCTGGGTCTCCCAGCCTCCTCACTGACGCAGGCCACCGGGAGTCCCAGGCCAGTGCAGTGAGTAGCTGTGGGCTACCCCAGCCCTTTGCAAACAGAACCGACCCTTGACCTAGAGCCACAGGGGAGGGGAAGGACAGAGTCCCTGGCTCCTTCACTCGGGGCCTGTCCTCACCTCTGAGCTAAACTGCTGGACTCTGAGAAGTCAAGCCTGCTGAGACCAGAGGTGGCCAGCAGGGCTTGGCTTGCAGTTTCCATCTCAAACACACAGGGGTTGGTTTTCTCCAGATTACTGGGCTTATTTATTTCTTTTGGTTTTGTCCGTGTTGCGACTGGGTCTCGATCTGTAGCCGGGACCAACCTTGAGTGCAGCAGGGTCACTCCTGCTCCAGTCTCCTAGGTGCTGGGATCACAGGCCTGTGCCACCACGCCCACCTCATGGCCAGTTTGAATTTCCATGGTCACTCTGGAAGGGCGCTGCCTTGGCAAGGCAAGCCTCACCCTGGTGAGTCACTGTCCCAGCCATTCTGTCTCCCTGCTGTCTCTCTCCTGGCCCCGGGGCAAAGCCACGCCTGCCACCAAGCCGCAGGCCCTCCCTGCCCTTCCCACCTTTGGGACAGGAGATCCAGTTTCCCCAGAGCAGGAAGGACCCCACGGAATGCATCTGATTCCTTGTGGGCTTAGGGAGGCCCTGTGGGCTTTCCTATAGTGTCCTTTACTGCTGTGTCTCTGAATTTGCTGTTTAGTGTCCATTTATGAATCGAGTTATTCACCACCTTCCTCTCCTCTGTTTTTCCTCTTCCTCCTCCATCTTCTTTTTCTTTTGTTTTGTTTTGTTTTTGCTCTTTTTGAGACTGGGTCTCCCTGCATTGCTAAATCACCTAGGCTGATCTTGAACTTGTGACCCTCCTGCCCTCAGCCTCTCAGCGTGCTGGGGTTGTAGGCATGCACCACCACACCGGGCTTCACCATTTTCTTACTGAATTGTAGACCTCTATATTTTGGATGCACATTTTTTTCATATAAATAAATAAATCACACATGCACATCTGGATATAAATTAGCTGTGTGCTGTGTTTTCCTTGTACTTCCCTTGAGTTCTTTTTTGTACAATAAACTTTGAAATCGTCTTAAAGGGGGCGGGAATTTAGCTCAGCAATGAAGTCTTAAAGTACAAGAAGTTGCAAAAATAGTACAGAGTTCCTGTGCACCTTTACCCAGGCTCCCTCAGTGTCTTACATAAGCGAGGTACATTGTTGAAATCAGGAAATTGCCATTAGTACACTCTCCCGTAGAGTCTCCTCTCTTGGAATTATTTTAGATCCTTCAGGGCAACCCCTTTTTTGGAGGAAGGGTCTTGCTATGTAGTCCAGGCTGACTTTGAACTCACAGCAGCCCTCCTGCCTCAGGATCCCACAGATTACAGGCAGGCACCACCTTGTTGCCAGGTTTTTGTCTTTTTGTTTTTGTCTTGTTGAGATAGGGTTTCACTCTGTAGTCCAGGTTGGCCTGAAATTCACAGTGACCCTCCTGTCTCTCTCTTTCTTGAGGTAGGGTCTGACCATGCAGTTCAGACTGACTTTCAATTCACTGTGTCCCCAGGCTGGTCTTGAACTCCCAGGGATGCTCCTGCCTCAGTCTCCTAACTGTTGGGATGACAGGCATGCACCACCACGCCTGGCTACAACTTTCTAATCCGTAACTTTTCTTTGTCAAAACACAGCATTTCCAGTGACTTCCAGATGACAGCAGCCTATGCTCAGTAGAGGAGCCACCCTACATCTGTCACCACCCTGGAATTTGGACAGACCCTAGTGTCCAGGTAGCTGATATTCTTGCCCACAACTCTAAGTTCTTTAGCCTCAACTCCTGAGCAAGTGGCTTTGCTGGCAATGACTTCCTTGCCCTTTGGTTGCTAGCTTTCCATATAAATCTCACCACAACAGTTGGTTCCCAAATCCTTGACATCCTGGGTGGCAGGCAGTAAACATGGGTTCACAGTTACCTATTTTACTTCAAATGGCACTGTGGAAAAAAATCAATATAAGAGTGATACTGGCGCTCGCCCTCCAGTCCTTGCCCTGAGATATTTTCCTCTATTGCACCAAATCACCTTCCTGAAGGCCAGCTCCCTGCCTGAGCAGTCGTCATGGTTACCTTGCCTTTCCCGCTGGAATGGTGGCATCCCAGCCCCAGCCCCAGTCCTTTTTATTTTGAGACAAGGCCTAAGTTGCTGAGTCACCCCAGCTGGGCTCTAGCTTGTGACCACCCTGTCTCAGCCTCCTAGAGTCCTGGATGACAGGAGTGTGCCACCCTTTAAGGTTTCCTTTTACTATTTTTTTTTTTCCAGATGGTCTCCTTGTGCAATCCAGGCTGGCCTTGAGTTCACTTTGTAATCAAACTGATCTTGAACTGGCAAAGGATCCTCCTGCCTCAGCCTCCTGAA